GGGGAGCGTTTAAGAAAATAGATACTGATCAAAGAAGGCAAAGCCTCAACGCTACAGAAATGACAGATATGAACAATAAACTCACAATAATGAAAAATAATATGTTAACAAAAGATGATATTAAAACAATAGTAAGTGATATTACTAGTTCGGTCTTGTTAAGCTTCAAGGAAGAATTTAACGCAATTCACGAAAAACTTGATACTACACTGAAAGAAAACGAGCTTTTAAGGAAGGAAAATGATAAACTCAGGGCCGACTTTAATGAATTGAAGGAAACAAGCGAAACTGAGAGACAGAGAATAAACGAAGCCATAAGCATGGCTAATTACAACGAGCAATACTCTCGTAAAAACAATATCCGAGTATCAGGCATACATTTTCCCGACAGTGACGAACCTATGAAAGAAACATTCATGAAGTTTGTTCATAAGCATATTGGAGTTTCGGTATCACCAACTGAAATAACAGCCATTCACCCCCTCCCTTCCAGGAATTTCGATAAACCTAGCCTGATTTTAGTAAAAATGTCGAATTCGGAAGCCAAACGAAACCTAATGATACACAAAAAAATAGTAGCTGAAAAAAACGTGAAATTTACTGACGACATTACCAAATCCAATCTGAGTTTAATGAATAGGGCTAATAACATGGACTGTGTAGAAAAATCGTGGTATTACAATGGTCAGGTATATGCAAAATCTAAAGGAAGAGTAAAAATCAAGATTAACTTATTCGAAAATTTTCGAGACAAACTCATGTCAGCCCCTTTTGACCAAAGAAGACAGTCAACGGATCTTTAAAGCATGATGTAAATATTATTGTTGACACACGCCTCGTACATGACCATGCATTGACCCAATTCGGTTATATGTACAAACACTAATAACCAGTCACAAATATTGTTACGCAAGTACGCTACAGACTGGAAATTTTGGACTAAAATATAATTTGTAAATACCAGTCACAGGCTTTTGTGATAATCATCCAACGAATATATTTAATTAGGTGAGGCTTCTCTCTTATCGAGGAAACCCAAGGGTGGTGGTGACTACGGTGGGACATCAAATATCGTATTCAGAGACACCACAAACACATCTCTTCACCAATATTCAATTATAACTACTAAAATAAGGACGAACTATTATATTTATATCGTTTATATATTTATATCATTTATGTATTTATATCATTTATGTATTTATATCATGTAATGTCATATATCATTATCACTAGATAGTGAATAAGAATAGGCATGCGCAATGGTATAATCAATACAAAATATAGATTGTGTTAATTATACTTATAGCATAAAACACCTTGTACACATCTCTCCAATTTAACAACCTAGGAGGATGAAGCGAACGCGAATTATAACAAACCAGTTTCAACAAGCACCATATAATATACACACATTAATATACAATCACATATACATTATTATTAAATATACAACCATGAAAAACCCCAATATTACCTTAAATAACATCTCGAAGATAATTTATAAAATACAATATTGTCCGTTAAAATGGCAGGAATAAGGGCACTCTCACTTAATGTCAGGGGACTTCGAAATAAACAAAAGAGAGAAAAAGTCTACCTATGGCTAAAAGAGCAAAAGGGTCAAATAATATTCTTACAAGAAACTCATAGTACAAAGGAAGATGAAGACTTTTGGCAAGGAGAATGGGGTGGGACAATTTACTACTCTCATGGTTCAACAAATTCTGCAGGAACCTCAATACTATTCAATTCGAATTTTCAACCAAAAGTCATTAAGAGTATATCAGATGAAAATGGGTACTTTGTTATATTAATAATACAAGCTGAAGAAAAAATTACAGTTCTTGTAAATACATACAGTCCAACATCCGACAGTGATCAAAATGCTTATTTTAATAAACTACGTAATACACTTACAAAAACTCTTTCTAACCAAGAATATGATATAATATTTGTGGGAGGAGATTTCAATAATGTGTTAGATACAAACTTAGACAGAAGTGGGGGTAATTACAGAGTAAAATCCAAGGGATTAGCAGCTTTAAAAGAACTTATTAATGAATATGAATTAGTAGATATATTCAGAATACGAAAACCAAAACTGCGGCAATTTACATGGCGACAAAATAAACCACTTATACAGAGTAGAATTGATTTTTGGTTGACATCAGAGAGTACTCAAAATTATATAAAATCTTGCTCTATTATACGTAATACAATAAGCGATCACTCCGCAGTCTTTATTGAATACGTTATCGTGAATGAAAGAAGAGGTCCAGGTTTATGGATTTATAATAATGATTTAAACAATGATAACAATTACTATAACTTATTGAAAAAGTCGATAGAAGAATGGTGTAGCTCATATCATGATCAATATGATAAGGGGGGGCTATGGGATTTTCTCAAATTTAAAATTAAACATGAAACAATACTGTACTGCAAATGTAAACAAACTATCAAACGAAAATTAAAAGAAACTCTGAATAACGAACTTTATCATTACGAGAATAAACTAGGTAGTGCCAATGTAACAAAAAATATTGAAAACATTTTGAACCGTATTGACGAGGTGAAAATTAAATTGAACAATATCTATGAGGATGAAACTAAAGGGGCAATCCTACGTGCAAAAATTCAGTGGCACGAAGAAGGAGAAAAAAATACAAAATTCTTCCTTGGAATAGAAAAAAGAAACAAAATAAACACGGTTATTCAAAGACTAACGAATGAAAATAACGAAATGATTTCAGACTCTAACAAAATTCAGTTTGAAATTTATAAATTTTACAGAAAATTGTATTCACAAACGAATAAATCTATACAAACACAAAATATTTTTATAATGAATGATAATACACACCCAGTAATTGAAGACAACTTAACACACATATTTGAACACAAGGTTAGTGATTGTGAATGTCAAACTGCCCTCAAATCATTCAAAAATAACAAAACACCAGGTAACGATGGACTTACTGTTGAATTTTACAGAAAACACTGGCAACTTGTAAGGGTCCATGTACTTAATTCATTCAACTGTGCCTTCGAAAATGGAACCTTATCTAATTCGCAGAGACAGTCAGTAATAAAATTAATTCCAAAATCCGGAAAAGATAAAACTCAACTAACTAACTGGAGACCAATTAGTTTAATTAACGTAGATGTAAAAATCTTAAGCAAATCCTTATCCATAAGACTAAAACCATTCCTTAACGACCTCATTCATCCAAATCAAACAGGCTTTGTGCCTGGTAGACACATACAGGAAAATACCAGGATAATAAGTGACTGTTTTACTCTAGCAGCCCAGAAAAAAATCACTGGGATATTATTAGCATTAGACTTTCAGAAAGCCTATGACAGTGTTGATCATAATTATCTATTTTCAGTGCTTAGATATTTTGGCTTTCAAAAAAACTTTGTGAGGTGGATTAAGACCCTTTATCATAATATTACATGTACTGTTATGAACAATGGTTTCTCAACGAAGCACTTCCTAGTAAGTAAAGGAGTTAGACAGGGGGATCCAAGTAGCTCAAACCTTTTTAACCTTGTTTTAGAAACATTATGTCAAAATATTAGAAACTGTAAATATATTGAAGGCATAGAATTTGGACAAAAATCATTAAAACTGACCGCCTTTGCTGATGACATCACTTGTTTACTGAAAAACTTCAAATCAGCAAGACACCTTTTCGAAATATTAAAGAAATTTAGTAAAGTATCCGGTCTTGAAATCAATGCAACCAAAACCGAGATAGCAGACCTAAATAGTAAAACTGAAAATATACAATCCATTGCTAATGAATTCGGAATAATTTTACAGAAAGAAAAAATTAAGATTTTGGGAATCTATTTCACAAATGATAAATGTTTAAGCAATAAATACAACTATGAAGAAAGGATTTCGGATATCAAAACAATACTGAATAGGTGGAAAAAAAGAAATTTAACATTAATAGGCAAAATCCAGGTTATAAAAACGTTCTGTATCTCTAAAATACTGTACCCAACATTAACGATAAATATTCCAGAGTATATCATTTCAAAGTTTAATACGATTATATATAACTACCTGTGGTCAGGCCCAGATAAAATAAAACGAAATGTTATTTCCCAACAATTTGAAATGGGGGGTTTAAATATGATAAACATTAATGAATTGTTGAAAAGCCAGAGTATCTTTTGGATAAACATGGAAAATTATTTACGAACATATCCTACAAAATCAGAATGGATATTTAATACCGTTATCTAACTTCAATATTAGAGACATTATCTCGACACCCTTTTATACAAATCTATTTCAAAACTGGTATAACATATACACGTGCTATATTGACGGATTGGTTCCCTTAAGAAATCAATTGATTTGGAATAACCATAATCTAAGAATTAACAATAAGTCTTCAATCAAGAATATATTAATTAACGATAACATTTTATTTGTTGAGGATATCGCAGACATCAATCTTTCCAAATATGATAATGATCTTATCAAGTTAATGGAGATCAATCAAATTTTGGTTAACATTAAAAAGGTAAAGGAAACAATATCGGAAACGGAATACAGTTGGAATACTAAAATTTTTGACAATAGATTAAATGTAAATTTGGATAATTTTTTAGAAAAATTATACAAAAAAAATATATCAAATATAACCTCAAAAGACATTTATAAAAAACTTGTACAAAAGAACTACACAAAACCACCAGCTATTGCCAGGTGGGAAAAAAATTATAGTATTGCCCTAGAAGAAGACCAAGTTAAACACATTTTTACACAGATACGAAGAATAACTAGAGATTCAAAAATGGTGACATTTCATTTTAGATATATACACCATGTAATTTACCTTAACGATCGATTATATAAAATGAAATTATCTAACTCATTACTGTGTGATTTTTGTAATTCTACAATTGAAAATATCGATCATCTCTTCATTCAATGCGAATATGCTCAATTAGTATGGCAGAAACTACATGAAATATTAATCTATAATAATATATATATTAATCTTACTAGTATAATTAAACACTTAGGTATAATTATACATGAGAATTTAAAAAATGAAAAAGAATTAAATACTGTTAATTTACTTATATTGTTATCAAAATACTATATCTACTCATGTAAGGTCAAAAAAAGCGTTCCAAATACCAGAAGTTATACTTCATACATCGAAATGAAAACTAAGATAATATACAACACAGAAGACGGACACAACATCCTGAAGATAAAACAAAATCATTAAAAATATTTATTCATATATATAATATACATTTCGTTATGTTCTCTATATAGGTAATATTTATTCAATCCTAGTTTTTAGATTATCTACAGATTTATATTTATACTTATATTCATGATTTATATATGCATGTTTTATATATATGTATATGTATGTTGTTGGTTAATAAACTGGGTTTTTTAAAAAAAAAAAAAAAAAAAAAAAAAACCCTTCCTTGAAGTGTCAAATTTGACAATGAACCCATCCCACGTGCATGGCGCTATTGCGTGTCGCATGTGCAGCTCAGTGGTTCTGTTGGGGAGGTAAGTTCTTCATCTGTGAACATACTCTCAAAGCATGTCAATTGTCCATGACTATTTATCATATCACAACATGCAAAGGTATTTGCATTTCAATATCCCCTACTTTTTTTGAAGAGTATATATTGATCACTCATAAAGGAGGGGGGGGGGGGGTCTCTATCTAATATATATTGATCCCTCATTAAGGACGAGGTTATCTAATATATATTATAGATTATTTACCTGTATTTTGAATAATAATAACACCTATACATGACAATATATATTACAGATAATTTACTTGTAACACCTATACATGATAATATATATTACAGATGATTTACCTGTATTTTGAATAATAATAACACCTATTCATGACAATATATATTACAGATCATTTACCTGTAACACCTATACATGATAATATATATTACAGATTATTTACCTGTATTTTGAATAATAATAACACCTATACATGACAATGTAGCACCAGCAAACATAATGGTCGCCACTTTTCTTCTACCAAATCTATAAATATATTTACGTGCAGGTGAATTGTAAGAACTTTTAACAACTCGTTAATTCTCTTTACTAAAATATACAAATAATATGCATTCCTTATAGAACCATAAGACTGGAATATCCGTGTCGACTATGGTAAAGATAGGCATTAAAACGTGATCCATATATTCATATTAAACCAAGTTACCAGCTCGGACCTCCAAACATTTATATTAAGCCAAGTTATCCACTCCATATATTTATGTTAAGTCAAGTTATCCGCTTGGACATCCATATATTTATGTTAAGCCAAGTTATCCACTCCATAAATTTATGTTAAGCCAAGTTATCCACTCCATATATTTATACTAAACCAAGTTACCCACTCCATATATTTATGCTAAGCCAAGTTACCCGCTCCATAGATTTATGCTAAGCTAAGTTACTCGCTCCATACATTTATGCTACTCCATATTAACCACTCCACAAAGCGGGAGTCATTTCGGGACTAACATATGGTTCAATTTATTTCAGTAATTCGCTTGGGGTCTTTAAGCGAGGTTGGACACGCGACTCTACGCCTTGTCACGTGCCAGTCAACTCGATGACAGACCTTATGAATTAAAGTGCACGCCACCCAACCGCCTTACCTCTGACGTAGCAACTCACCTATTCATGGCATATATTACTGGTATAAACACAGGAAACTCTAAAATATTCATAAGGAACATATTCAAATAAAAACCTCCAGAAAATTTACCCACACCAAAGGCAAAACCATAATATGAAGCCGATAATGACCACCTGAAATTAAAATATAGCCTTGTACCTGTTATCGCTCTCTACTTCAGCATGTAAGTATTTTGCGTCACTTCAAATCAGTATTACAAATTACCCGTAACAAAGGTAGCAAAGGTGCAGTTCTATCAAATATGTAATATTAGTGGACACCAACATGGTCTATTAGACAGTACACCCACATGGTCTATTAGACAGTACACCAACATGGTCTATTAGACAGTACACCAACATGGTCTATTAGACAATGAGAGAGGACCCTGAGAAAACCAACGAGGTTGGACAGGCGACTCTACTTCATGTCACGTACAATCGTGGAATCGAAACCACGCCAGTTGACTCAATGAAAGCCCTAACTAAGGATACAAAGCGCACGCGCTAACCATTCGATCACCCAACCCCACATGGCCCTTTCGAATCTATATCTAACTGGTATTCTGGCATGCTTGGGCTATTATTACCATGTTTGGGCTATTATTACCATGCTTGGGCTATTATTACCATGCCTGGGCTATTATTACCATGTTTGGGCTATTATTAACATGCTTGGGCTATTATTACCATGCTTGGGCTATTATTACTATGTTTGGGCTATTGTTACCATGTTCGGCCTATTATTACCATGCTTGGGCTATTATTACCATGCCTGGGCTATTATTACCATGTTTGGGCTATTATTACCATGTTTTGGCTATTATTACCATGCTCGGGCTATTATTACTATGTTTTGGCTATTGTTACCATTTTTGGGCTATTATTACCATGTTTGGGCTATTATTACAATGCTTGGGCTATTATTACCATGTTTGGGCTATTATTACCATGCTTGGGCTATTATTACCATGGTTGAGCTATTATTACCATGTTTGGGTTATTATTAACATGCTTGGGCCATTATTACCATGTTTGGGCTATTATTACCATGTTTGGGCTCTTATTACCATGTTCGGCCTATTATTAACATGCTTGGGCTATTATTACCATGTTTGGACTATTATTACCATGTTTGGGCTATTATTACCATGTGTGGGCTATTATTACCATGCTTTACCATGAAAGTATTAACTGGGTAGTTATTTCCAATAATAGAAAATATGGGATATTTGGTATATATATGGATATATAATCTTACTAGAAATTACACGAGTCTCAGAAAAAAAAACTCACGGGCGCACACAGGACAAAAATTGTCTTCTCGGGGAGGAAGAGCTTCGTATCGGTTGATCGAATGGCTAGCGGTTGTCAGAGGCTTGCCAAATGCAGAATTTGTTTCGATATTTATGGTAAATGGACAGCGAATAACGACAAAAACACGCTGTAAAACAAATCTTCCCACAATCAAGTCACGCCAAAAACAAAGATGCTTAAAATAATATCTGCGTAGTTTCTTGGAATTAAAATGTTTGCGCAGGTATTGATAAATAAATTAGTTTGAATATGTTTTTAGTCCAAATATATCATCAAATAACACAGTTTATACAGAGGAGGGTATCTTTAAAGTTGTCTATAGAATACGTACAGTTTGACTCACCAGACTAAATGACATAGTTTATACAGGGGAAGGTATCTTTAAAGTTCTCTATTAGAATACGTACAGTTTGACTCACCATACTAAATGAGTTATTATCGTATGTTTAGCCATTTTCCATCCCCTATATAAATCTATATAAGAATATTTCTTCCCGCCTTTCGTCTTCTCTGTTTCCTCCTGACTCAGTTCAATCAACATTTCTCTGGTTTTATCTGGTTTAATTCTACCGTTCATCGTCGCCACTCGTTCTATGACACTCTCAGCTTCATCAATCTTTCCCTTAACAGCCAACCACCGGATACTCTCGGGAACAATACTAAAATACAGTCAAGTTTGTTTATAACGTTTGGTATCGGGACTGGATTCATTTTTACGGTATATCTGTGTAACATTACCGATATATCAGTGTAGGGGGCTGGGCTCATTTTAACGTTATATCAGTGTAGGGGACTTAAGTCATTTTAACGTTATATTAGTGTAGGGGACTGACCTCATTTTAACGTTATATCAGTGTAGGGGACTGGACCCATTGTTACGTTATATCTGTATAACATTACCGTTATATCAGTGTAGGGGGCTGGGCTCAGTTTAACGTTATGTCAGTGTAGGGGACTTGAGTCATTTTAACGTTATATTTGTGCAATATTAAAGTATGGTAATTGAACACGTTATATCTGTGTAAAGCAGTGATTCACAACCAGTGTGCCGCGACACAGAGGTGCGCCGCGAGAGATTCCTAAGTGTGCCGCTAAATTTTGAATGGCACACTAAGAACATTTCTCACTAAAGAAGCCAGCTATTTGACTGATAAAACTTGAAACATCGCAATAAAGTAAGTTCATAGCTGTGTTTTTCTTTATTTAGTTTGAGTCATTCTATGTGTCTATGACTAGTCTGTGTCTACGGTTGTATGCCGTCCGCACGTAATAATAAAATTAAAACTTTATACTTACAACCAACCCAATAAGAATGGTACCGTACTGACTCCGACAGCGATATGAACGTACGTCCAATCGTGCATCAACCAAGAGGCAAGAGCCAGGAAGCAAACTCCTGTCGCCCAGAACGGAATAACCGTCAACGAAGGTCTCCATTTGTATCCCAGAAATTCTACTGGAAACATGCTGACAACCAGATATGACCCAATAGTTGCTCCAATCAGACATCGCATGGCTGTAAAGGCCTGCCATGACGTAACAAATGCTATAGCAACAGTCAGAATGGAATGTAGTAGTAGAGTCAAATAGAATGTCTTTTTACGACCAAACGTATCGGCTGATTGACCAGCTATCACAGCACCAACCAACACACCAGCCATTTGTATGGATGTTATAATAGGAGTTATCCATTTTCTTTCACACATCAAATCCCACTGGAATATAAAAATTAAATGACGTTTAATGTCCAACTTTTATTTTGCACCAACGGGGGGCCACGGTGGCTCAGTGCATAAGGCGCCGCCTCGCTAGCCTGGAGGTCGCGGGTACGCGCCCGGTGTTGACCGAGAAAGTTCATCGAGATTTTCCGACGTGGTTTCACCTTGTCTGTGGTAGAGGACGGAGGGCCTGGCGAGGACAGATATCTAGGCGTTCGGATGGGACGAAAACTGCTGTCCGGGCGAAGTTTCCCTCATAGCACACTTTATGGCGTATGCCCGTCTTCATTAGCCCAGCCAAAGCAGAACAGTAGGACGTTAAACCCCATTTTAATTCCATTTGCATGAATCGAGACAATAAAGAGGGACATAAACAATGCAGCGTGTGTTATGAACGGACTTTTGTTTTTCGTCAATCTGGTTAAAACACAGATCCTATTTCGTTTCGTTTTTATAGTTCAAAATTTCGTTTTACTTGTCTTTACTACACTTGGATCTGGAAGAGTTGTTATTTAACACGTGTTCTGAATGGTGTCAGGGATAAGCCAATGAAACGGTCTGTCACGGCGAGCTTTAGGCGTGTTTTGCACGGAACTGTGGGTAATCCGCTAGTAACATCAATGCTGATTGGTTAATCAAAGTATAAAAAACGAAGCGAAATATAGATCTGTATTTTAACCAGATTGGTTTTTCGTCAAACCCAAACAACTGCACAGTTTACCTTGACGGACCCCCATTCCATTACAGCCCCCCCCCCCCCGTCCATTTTAAAAGCTAATACTGTCCAATGAAGTTTGCTGTTGTTATTAGGTGTTTGAATGACAACATTTTATACCCAGTCAATATTTATATAGATACTTATTATATATATATATATATATTAATGTAAAGAACACGGGATATATGTCAAGGTCAAGGTCAAATTTATAGGGGTCGAAAACGTAGCGAGATATATTTTGAAAAAAGGACTACTTAAGAGGAATCATTTCTTTATTGGTCCTCGAGCCTACCATACTAGCAGACTACTTCTCAGTCAACCGATGATTTCATTCTATTTACGGACATAATGGCGGACAAATATAGCAGGTTGGCGCAGAAGAAATTGCGTTTTTTGATTGGTTGATTTATCATTTTGATTGACAGCTGCGATCGGTCAATTGTTCGAGTGGATTTGGAAGATCGTATAATTTCCACACTGTGTGTTTGACGTCACAAGGGTAGATAACTCTAACCCAGAATTACCGATAGACGAATTATCCTAACCGACATAAATTGCCCAATCTGTGGGATATCTCCAACCGACATGAACTCCACACGTGTGGGGATCGCTCCAACTCCCCAAACAATCGGAACTCCCACATCTAACCATTTCTCCAGCCGGCATCAACTCCCAGAGCGGTCTGAATTCAACCGGCGGGATATGACTTGTGAAGAGGGCTAGACTTGGTAGGCGGGTATAACTTGTGATGATTGCATGATTTGTGAAGGGGGGTTGCGGGGATGGGGAGGGGGTGGTAGATTCAAGTACGTACCTCTGTTACAACTGTTCTTGTGTATTCATCATAAACTCTAGAACAAGTGGAGTTGTCATCATTGCTACAATATTTATACGTCACATTATTTCTGCTATTATTAGACATGACGTCATCGACACACCACCAATCAGTGACGTAAGCACCATATGACATAATCAGCATGTTGTATCCAATGGCCAACTTTGGAACCATTACCATAAACATCACCAATATCTGGAACTTCCCGAAAGAACCGATCTCTTTCACTATTTGATCCAAATGCATCTTTTCTGTTTTGTTTTTTTTACTGAATTTATGATATAAAACTTGATTAAAACATCAATAAATGACAGCCTGATTAAAATACAGATCTTTATTTCGTTTCGTTGTTTTATACTTTCGATGGCCTCTACTACATAAAGATCTGACCGACTGTAGTGGGATGTCGCGTCAGGAGCCATACGAGCGGCTTTTGACCCTATGTCATCAGACATTTGATTAACCAATCAGCGTTGATGTTTCCAGTGGGTTACCTACAGTACCGTGCACCTCATGCCAAAAACTCGCCGTCACAATTTCATTGGCTAATCCCTCACATCATCCAGAACGTGGGTTATATAACAACTCTTCCAAGTAAAGCGACATTTTGAACTATAAAAAAAACGAAACGAAATAGGATCTGTGTTTTAATCGAATTGGTCAAATCACCAATTACCAACAATATAAATATTGCTTTTTGTAAATCTCTAGGTATTTTTCATTTCCATTGATATTTATAGTTTTCACCCGACCTTCAACAAATCTAAAATTAATAAGTGACCTAGTGACACAGCATGTCCTGAATCTTGTGTTACCATTTATCCTAAAGGTCAGCGTGTTTTCCTAGCTTCAATTATTCGTGGTTTCGAGACTGAAAACTTTAGAAAGTAATAAAGGAAGAACACGAATTATGACAATGATCTACCTCAATGATCTCAGAGCCCTAAACCTAGCCCAAGACGAGAGAAATATATCGGGATGCTTAACACCTTTTTCGCTGTATCATAAGGTCTGTCATTGATTCAACTGACATGATTTCGATTCCCCGGTTGTACGTGACAAGGAGTAGGATCGCCTGTCCAACCTCGTGGGTCTTCTCCGCGTCCTCCTACCACTGATAAAGACCCGCTACACGCAAGCGAATTATTGAAAAAAAAATCTTAATCCAGACAGGACCTAGTTTGTGTCGAGTGAACGTTAAACTCCATTTCTCTCTCTCTCTCTCTCTCTTTTTTTTACAGGTGCGTGTCCAGAAGTAGTGGAAGGGGGTACTTTTTTTTTTACCCGCATTCATCGAAATAACTTCAAACTAACAAACGTCACCATTTTGATCCAAGTCCGTTCTAATCCTGGACCTAAATGAGCAGAGATATTGTCTCAGAAATTCTCGGACAGCGGACCAGACCTTACCTCAACTATGACGTTGTCTCCACCATTTTGGCCGAGAAAGTTCATCGGGAATTTCCGACGTGCTCCCCCCCACCCCCCGACGTGCTCCCCCACCCCCGACGTGCTCCCCCCCACCCCCCGACGTAGGGCCTGAGACCTGGCAAGGGACAACGTACAGTCGTTCGGATGGGACGAAAACCTAAAGACCCGTGTAGCGCTGGTGTCCGGGCAAATGTCCCTCATATCGGGCCCGTAGCCAGCTCGTAAAATTTGGTCGGGCTATGGAATATTTTGGAGGAGCTGAGGATGTGGCCGGCAAAGCGCCGATTTGGTGCTCTCTCCTCGCATCTGAGTGCATTCCTGGGCCTCAAATTGAAGTGTCTCAGACAGGTTTTTATGGCTGAAAATGGCGATAAATTATGCAGCCTCTGGTACCGTCAAGAGCTCTAACTAATTTTGAACTATTTCTTCTTCCTGCCACAGTAGTTATGTACTATGCACGTATGGTATCAAGACAAGAGGATCAGGAGGTGATGATGACAGGCAGGCCTCGGTAGACCATGCTACGAGCCTACGGGTCGTCTACCAATTTGAACACTCCTAAAAAATCATTATTGTCGCCAAAATATTGGGGGGGGGGGGGGGCTAATTCTCAATTTTTTTTTGTGGGGGGGGGGGGGGGGGACTTCGCGGACCCGCCTCATAGCACACTGTAATGGCGTATGCCCGTCTTCATTAGTCCAGTCGGAGCAGAGCAGTAGGACGTTAAACCCGATTCATTTCAAACACTATTATTCAACAAGAAATGGGTTGGGTTTATAATATTCACGTCAATGGAGAGATGATCTAACTAGTCTGGGTTCTTGTTGAACTATATTTTATACCCTGTGTGACTTTTACAACCGACTGAACAGCTTTTTGGGTTCAATAGAAAGTGGATTAATAGCCCTGACCTCAGACGTGATCAATTTATAAATGTTATTTTTCTATAAAAAAAATTAACTGGGGATTTAGAATCCTACATTGCATACACCATGTCGTTCGTCTGCTTTGACACTGGACAGAGGTGCGTCCCGCTTCCCTTCCACGATTTCCAACTGTCAAGGGATCTATTACGTACACGCCAATGTGCAGGCGTACACGAACCTCGGTATCTCGTCCCATCAAAACGACTAACCACTTGCCAGGAAGGGAGCCACGATGGCTCAATGAGTAAGACGTTGGCTCGCTAATCTCGAGGTTCTGTGTTCTGTTAATTTAAACTGAAAGGATGTTTAGTGTTCTAAAATTCTGCACAACCGGGATCATTCTACACACAGAGACCCATCTACTTCATACTTTGAGAATAGATCTCTGTCCTTACTGGCCGCCATATCCAACAATTAGTATATTATATTGTAATGCGATTCTACTCCGTTTCATGTCTGTCATACACACAAAGACTAAATAAACCTGTTCTATTCCATTAAATGGAAGCAGAATAAATACTTAACAAAATTCTCGAAGTACAGTATTCTTAGTGTTTTTGACTAAAATCGCCGTTTTAGGACTTAAACTATCGGTGAACTAGTTTAGAGTCTGGTCTCAAGTTGAGCTAACAGTAGAAAGACAGCATAAGTTTAGTATGAAACTTGGTAATAAAAACAGTATACGCCATGCAGTGTGCTATGAATGAACTTGTTGGTCCTGACAGCGGTGCTATGGCCAGTGTTTTACCTGTAGGATAAAGCACGAGACCGGAGTTATGCTGGGGAAAGAAAGACTGAATAAGAAAATAACTCGAGAAAAAGAAAACCCGAGGCGTAAAGATCAAAGAGATTTACCTGTACAGGTATATAAGTACTGCTAATGTTTATCGGAACTAGTCAACAATAAATAATATATACATTTCGAAACTTAATAAAATGACTAACCGTTTTTTTATACGACCCAATACTCCACGTTACATACAACATCCACGTTTATAACTGATAATGAAAAGTTAGAGCACAATAATTATAAACAATCTGAAATAGTCCAAGTATTAACCTTTAATTATATGTCTTGCGATAACCCAGCAGCCTTGACAGATTAACGAACAATATTTATTGAACATGTACGACGACTAACTTGATATATAACAACAAACAACAATACAAACTGTACAAACACTACTCGTATTTCACGAGGTGGACTTTTTCTTTTATAACGGTTTCCATCTTCACACCGACCTTTGCGAAAAAATCTTGACATATAATCTGCGTTATGCGGACAGAAGTGTGGATACGGGTTGTTAAGGTCAAGCAAAGTTCACTCATCATATTAAAGATACAGTCCCATGTAGAGAGAGAGAGAGAGAGAGAGAGAGAGAGAGAAATTGGGTTTAACGTTCACTCGACACAAACTAGGTCATTTCGGGACTAACACATGGTTCAATTTTATTTCAATAATTCGATTGCGCGTAGGGGTCTTTAGCTGTGGGAGGAAACCGGAGGACCCGGAGAAAACCCACGAGGATGGACAGGCGACCCTACTCCTTGCCACGTACAAACAGGGGAATCGAAACCCCGCCAGTTGACTCAATGACGGACCGTATGATACAGCGCGTGCGTGCTAACCATTCGGCCACCCCCCCCCCCCAGTCCCATGTAAAAACTATGTGATTTACTGATCTGTTGGGACCAAATCACATTAAAGATACAGTCCCACGTACAAACTGTGTGATTTACTGATCTATTGCGACTAAAAACATATTCAGACTAATTTATCTATCAAAAGTCTGCTTCAATTGTAATTGCAATAAAACTACCCCACGATTCAAGTTTCTAATCGATTCCAGTCTGTATTTGTCGTTAGTCGATACATCGACGTCTAAATAACCTCTCGTGCTAGCCTCTGTCAGCTTCTTTGTCTGTCGTTAAATCGTGGAATCTACCATCTTCAATAGAAGGCTTGATCTCGCTTTAACTACGTACATCTTATTAAGGCATTCGCGTAATACCCTGCATATTTCAGCACTAATTTCGATTGGGTACTAGCCCAACTTGTGAGTCTATCAGATTCCTCGATCGTCGCGAATACCAAGTCTCGCGCTTTCAAGCTAAAATGTCTACTTGTGATAATCGAGTTGCAAAGTTCAAGGTTCATTCAATGTCAAGGTTTCCGTGGAGGTCGCGATGTCACAATCTCTGATTGGACGCTACTGGTCACGTGTAGATAACACAGATGTCCAGATGTTGTAAAACTCGCAATCATTGCTTTAGGAAGATGGGAATCTACCGGAAGTTGAAATCTGCTACTGATATTACACCTGGTAGCCATTAGATGAACACAAGGAACGCTTCTATTTGGTCATCCGAGGAGGCAGTCTGGCATTTAAAGATACCCGCGGAGCCGTAACTAGTTGAGAGTAACGTGGGGTCGGAAAGTGTTCTCAGGGGTGCTGTAAAATTGACGGAGAATGTAATTTCACGTTTTTCCTCGGGCGTGGGGGTGGGCGCGGAATCTTTTGCAGTGGGTAGGGGGGGGGGGGGTGTGTGTATATTATCACCATGCTATATATTTTACTATCTGATCATATTGTCATGCTATTTTATGTATATTGCCATGCTATTTTATGTATATTATCATGCAATTGTTTATATTATGTATTTTATCATGCTATATTATGCATATTATCATGCTATATATATATATATAAATATATATATAACGTGGGCATTAGGCAGACCATAAACACATATGTATATAGCCATTAAGCAGACCGATGGATTAGGCAGACAAAAACTGGTCTGCCTAATAA